AAAATAGTCTGAGTCGAAAAGCTTTTAATCACCTCGAGAGGTTCCCTCGTCAGTCATAAGTTCACTCTGATGAACTATTAGACCGTCTTCTATAAATGATATTCAATATGATTGATCGTATGATATGATTAAGAAGCGTAGGAGTTGTGATTAGCTAATCATACCATTGCTACTTCGTTGTTCATTTTAACGGTCTACTTCATCTTAATTTTACTTTTTTCTTTGTAGAGATGGGCAAATCCGAGTCAAGTCCAAGTCCTCTAAGCTTTAAGTCTGATGTCAGCTCAAGCATGTATTGTTTTTTCTATTTCCATTCTTTTTCTTCTATGTTTTCATCAGAAAGATCCTGTTTCTTTATATGATTATAGTAACAAAAAACGAAAAAATGTTAAAAAACAAGAACAAGACAGGACTTTTTGTTTTCTTTTGTTACATGAAAATGAAAAGAAAAGCTTATTTCATCAGAGAAAAGTTACATTTGAGTAACGTAAGACATGAGAAGGTTTTTCTTGTCATTTTTTTGACTGAGATGATAGTATAAGAAAACCAGATTGAGAGAACACGCTCAATTGGAGACGAAGTGTCTAGCACTTTTCGTTCTGTCTTTCGTTTTGGTCATCTTATTACTCATTTATTTGGCGGTAACGTCAAAAAGATAAAAAGAGTGAACAGATATGAACTGAAAAGTCCAGTGGTAACCGTGAAAAAGCTTATCAGTCCAGGCTTGTCCATCGCTGTTCCTTCGAACATTAATTTGATGTATCATCATACCATATGCAGGGTTGAAATCATTTTCATTATACGACTCATAAAGATTTTATATTCACTACACTCTAAAAAAAACGTGTTCTTTAGTTTTTCAAAGTACTGAAAAATCAATGGAAATTTTGTTCTTCATTTGTTCCAAATAGAGGACTCAAATTCTGTTCTGCAATTTCCAAAGAATGAAAAAAAAACAGTTTTTCAAAAATTGAAGAACAAATTTTGAGTTCTTGAGAGTTGAGTTCTCTACTTGGGACGAATGAAGAACAAAATTCCCATTAATTTTTCAGTTCTTTGAAAAACTATTGAACACTTTTTTTTTAGAGTGTATGGTAAAATCTCTATAAAGTCATGTTCAAAATAACCGTAACTCATAATTACCCGTTACACAGTAGCTAGATTTATTTGTATATATTGTTACTTTCACTCACTTATGTGCAGTTACGTGCTTGCTCATTAAAGTTAACTAGATAGATGAATGATAGGAGGCAGTTAAATAAGTCATACAAACGGTTAGAAGAAAAAAGAAGAAGTTGTTCAATGTCACTGAGTCACTTATATATCTGACTAATTCAATAGACATAATAAACACATTAGATATATCAAGTCTGACTGATAACGATGAGTTTGATGGTTTTTACCAAAAAAAATTATTACAACTATGGCCTGATTATTTATTTAGACAAGTTATTATAAGTTGTTTGTTGTACCTTCGTCTTATCAAAATAAGAGTAGATAGAGGAAAAATCCATGAAAAAATGAATAATTTTAGTTTGTTCAAGATAATAATAATACGCAATGTTTTTTGAGTTCATTCTTGTGTTATATAATCGTCGAATGAATAAAAAACAGCATACAATATTATTATAATGTTAATCTAAACGTAAAATACAGAAATGATGTAAGTTCAAATTTTATTAATTTTCAATCTGTTAAATTAGACTGAAAAATTCACTTTTCTTTTTATCATCTACTAGTGCTTATGAGATGATCTAATCAATTCGTTTATTCACTAAAATGTGTTTGATTTTTTTAATATATAACTATCATTAACAGCACATAAATCTCATTTTATCAATTTGAATTTCAATAAAATACAATTATACCAGTTTTTGTTGTACAGATTTGTCTGAAAAAATTTTCTTTACTAAACTCATTTGTGCTCCCTTGATGAGTTGTTCTTATACAGAGTCATTATTAACCATTTATGGTCAAAATGATTATTACACCATAACAATTCAACGAATAAGCGATTATCTCATAGAATAAGTTTTATTTTTATACAAAGACTGGTATTACATATACAAATTATAACGAAATTTTCTTTTTGTTCAATCAAACCTATATAAATACATCATGTTCGATTCGATTTCTTTGAATATAACCTTCTGGTTATAACATAAGTGATCAATTATGATATCAAAATGTGTACGCGCATTCTATATAATTCGAGCGCTATGAATTTTTTTCTATTAGAAAAATGATCGTTTTCTAAAAAGTCATAGTCAACTATAAAAAACCAACAACCAAAAAACGTATGTATAGTACTGATGGTATTTGTTTATACAATATTTATTTTTACCATTGTTTTACTATGTTGTACTATGCAACAAATAAATAAAAATCTCACTTATATGTAAGTTAATATGATAAATCTTCCTTCACTTTCCATTTGACTCTTATTTAAATTATTATTTTTTAATATTTCTAGGCTATTTATATCCGAAGATGTACCAATTAATTATAAACAATTGGTTGATACATTTAATGAATCAATATGCAAAGATTATTCAATTATAATTCCAACATCAAATGATTATGAATCATCATTTTATATCTATTTAAAAATATTAGATAACAAGAAATTTAATGAGACAGTTCAAAGTTCAAAACTTAATTATGTTATACAGAAAAAATGTAATTTATATTTAAAAGTCTTAACAACTTTAGATCGTGAGCAGTATTCAACGTATATGATTCGACGACATTTTTTACCCATAATTTATGATAATCACACCATAGTACCAAAGTATAAACCGTTTACTATACAATTTTCAGTTGTAATTCTAGATGGTAAGTTGTACAGGATCATTAACAAAAGTTTTTTATTTATTTATGCTGTTTTAGTGAACGATCATTCACCTCAGTTTGAAGTTGACCATTTTCGATTTAGTATTAATGAGAATACGCCTGTTGGTAAAAAAATTGGCCAAGTATTGGCACATGATCCGGATACATTTTTGAATGGAAAAATAACGTACACAATATTTGGTGATGATTTGTATGTAAATAAAACGAATAAATCTGGTAGAAAAATGTTTCAGATTGAAGCCGATAGTGGAGAACTTTATCTATTAGAAGCATTAGATTATGAAACAAAATCTGAATATTTATTCATAGTGGAAGCCAAGGATAATGGTAATGTGGAGACTACGAGTTGGCCATCAATATCGTCGTATGCTGATATTTTCATATATGTTAACGATGTTAACGATTGTCAACCTGAAATTAGTCTTACATTACTGTATAATGAATCAATCTCACTATCGTCGATCAACAAAGAAAATCATAACATTATCAATAACGTGTCTCCACAAATATACTCACTTCTGAGAAATGATAGCAATTCATATACTGCAGGTAATTCACTCGGTTTTCCATTACACACGCGTTTGTTCAAAATAGAATGATGAAGTAGAGTCTCGAATCCTCAGAAAATGACACTTCGGACCCTCGATATAAGCTTTCGAGGGGTATCGATTTTGAGCCTGCGGCGTCCGATGGTGCCATGGGCGGGCCTTCCGCGCCCGCGCTTCCACGAGAGTACGACGAGGGCTTGGAAGTCCCGAACATCTCTATCTTTGCTCGAAATTTTTCTCGACGACTCACTACCTATCCGAAATTCGAGGGCTCCAAATCGATATCCCTCGAAAACTTATATCGCTGGTCCGAAGTGTCATTTTCCGAGGGTTCGAGCTCTCCGCGAAGGCCCATCGAAAGGTTATTTTCGAGCACTCGATGTACCCCTCGAACAACTGGTTGGGAATAGATCCATTCAGAAATGTCTACTCTAGAAAATGAATGAGAGAAATAAATTTTACAATATTTGATCTATGCGTACTAATTCGAAGTGAAAAGGCTTGAACAAATCATTTGCATTTATCGAGCTCTCTCATTCTAATAAAACATTGTAAAATTTATTTCTCGTTGTTAATAATTTCGCAGAACAAATATTACTGAATCGATAAACACTGAAATTTGAAAAAACTGTTCTACATTTAAAAAGTTACAGTAAATTCTTGAAATGACTTGTCCATCGCGCTAAAGTTTTTTGTGTTCCTAAAAAGTGCTGCACTTGTACCTAGGCATGCACCAGTTTTTAACTGGTATTGGGACATCCGGGAGAATTGCTACAAATCAGTTATCACGATTCTCTCAGAGCTGTAAAACATCTAATTTTGTAGAAAAATGTTCGCTCTACAAAATGCTGAAATGAAAAAAAAAACTTGATTATACAATCGAAGAAATTAACAACCCATACTTTATTCAAAGGTTTTACAGAAACGCTTTTCGAACGTCCATAGGGTTCTATAAACTCTGTTCTGCAGATTTCTTATAAATCGAATATAGGATAGTTCAGATCATTATCATGTGTTCTGGGTGAATTATCAATTTTTTAACATGAGATGAAACAACCTTAGAACAGGATTTCGTAAATCTTGAATTTCACCAGGTTTTTGAATTTTTCTCAGAAACAGATCCTATCACCAAATACAGATGGGCAGCTTTATATGTTTTATGCGCTTTCAAAGCGTCTCTGGTTGCTAAAAAGTCTACTAAAAATCCTGTACCATACCCGAATCCTTCATTTTTTAGGGGGGGCACTTTGAACTATCTACTCATAGAAAATAATCACTATATTGCCACTTTAAGTTTTGAAGAACTGGACTGTGCTTCTAAAGAACCCTTCAACATCCTATTTTCAAAAAGGATTTTTAAAATTTGTTTTGCTTACGAAGAGATGTCACGCGGTCTTGTGTATCGAACAGCGAAAAACGCACCTCTCTGTCTCCTATCGTTCAGAAGTCATTTAAAAAACATTCACAAGCATTTATTTTTGAAACAAATAGTAAATAATCATCCTAGTCATATATCGTCGATGGGGCATTAACTATTTAACAAATATATATTTTTCGAAATCTAAAAAATATTCTATTCTATCATATTCTATATATTTAGAAAATTTTAATAAATACAACGATATTGAAGATGACTTTATCGATTATTTTCGTTCAGAGTATAATAAGAAACCTAAAGAACAACAAGTCTCGTTTCAAGTAGTACAATTTATTGAAGAAGAACCAATTTTAGCTGACAATCTATTAGGATTGATTTCTATTCATGATAATGATCATTCAGCAAATGGAGAGTTGACATTAGAATTACAAGTCTATGTTCAATGTACAAACAGGACAAAATTCACTAGAGGTAATATTTAATCCGTTTCATCACGTAAATACTTAGTTATAAATATTATATTTTATCAGAAATTTACCATTTATTATGAATGAACTTTGTAAAAGACAGTTAATATATTTCTAATTTTTTTAATTTTAGATGATTTGACTTTGCAGAATTCGAATAAAACCACATGTATTTATCAAATTGAAAATTATTTTCGTTTATTATTATTTCGTCCAAATGTTTATGGTTTGTTCAATAATCTAATATTAGATCGAGATGATCATGAAATATTTATGTTCAAATTTATTGCTGACGATCATGGTGATAGACAAATACAAAATACAAATTATTTTCAATTTAATAGTAGTAATCGATTCAATGAACTATTAAATTTAAATGAATTTAATCAAAAAAAATTAAAAAAGCAACTATATTCCAGAAAACATACTTTCACATCAGATAAATACAACATTGAAAATTTATTTTCGCTAAAATCAGAGATTTATCTACATTTAAAATTGTTAGATATTAATGACAATCATCCACAATTTGTAAAACCTTATTATCAAGTTTTAATTGATGAAAATCAACCACGTGGTACATTTGTCGTACGTGTACATGCCAATGATATTGATAAAGGAGAAAATGGAACTGTACGCTATGAATTAATTCCATACATAAATAGAAGAAAACAATTGAATAAAAAATTCATTCATAATCGAAGTATTACACCGTTATTATTTAATACTAATGTGAAAAAACGTTTATTAAACAAATTATTTAATATTAATTCTATTAATGGTATCATTACAACAAACACTCAATTTGACTATGAAAATTGTGCTTATTATCGATTTGGTATCCGAGCTTACGATTTAGGTTTAAATCGAAAATCATCAACGACTATCGTTGATGTTATGATTCAAAATCGTAATAATCATGTTTCATACTTTTTACAAGATCAATATGAATTTTTTATAGAAGAAAATTTGCCAATAGGAACAATTGTTGGTAAGATAACAATTGGCGACGAAGATGATAATTTGCCTAAAGAATTATTCATCAATTTTTTTACAGACAGTGAACTAAATGAATTTGATGTTCAATTAGCTCTGATGAAGACAAAATCAAAAGTAAACATGTAGGTATAAGAATAAATTTTAAAATATCTATTGTTTTTTGATGATATTTTTAGAAATTTAATTCAATATACATTTGGTGATACTGAACAAAATGTATCCTCGAATTTCATAATTGATTTTAATGGTGTTCTTCGAACTTTAGTCGTTTTAGATCGAGAAACTCATTCAGAATATAATCTATCCATTGTGTTATATGATGATGAATTGAAAGTCTCATCATCACCAGCAATGGTTCATATTATAGTGTTAGATGTCAATGATAATGCTCCTTTATTACGTCGTTCAGATACATCTCACATCATCTCAATAAATCAAGACGATTTGTATACATCCGATGATCATGTTATATATAAACTAGACACTGTTGATTTTGATGATGGAATGAATGGTCTAGTTACGGTGAATTGTACTAATTGTACACCCTATTTTAGTGTTGATCAATATGGAAAAGTTAAAAGAACACCAAACATGATTGTGCCAAATGGGTTTTATACATTTAGTATTTTATTACGCGATAATGGAACAAAGAGGCCACTTGAAACTCAACATTGGTTACGTTTACATATTAATGGTCTAAAATATGAAACAAATAGTTCATTACCACAATTAAATCCCTATTCAATAATAGACATTATTGAAATGAAAAATAATAGAATAAAATGGCTATTGAATATAACACAATTGAAATCACAAATATGGTTTCTTATTCTGTTCTGTGTCATCTGGTTAGTGTTGGTAATCGCAGCCATTTGGACGTGTTGCCAATATAAAAAACAGAACAAAGAGAAAAAGAAACGTTTATTAATATCACAAGTACGTGATAATAAAATAATTGTTCATGAACAATCGCCATATGATATATCACACTCTAAAACAGCATGCATTTATACAAAATTAACCAATAAAAATAAAAATAAACAGTTAATCATAATAAATAAGAATAAAAATAACGATTCATTACAGAAGGATGATGAAATTGAAGATACAAGTTATGATGCTGATGGAATTCTGAGTGATAATAATTTTGATTTAACAACAAGGAATAATAACAATAATGAAACGCATGAAATAAAAAGAACTGTAAGTTTATATTTTGTTTTTCTATCGCTCACATTCTAATAGGAAGAATTATTTTTATAAACCCTACTTTTTCGATCTCATGGTATAATCTTTTCAATAGTTTTCAAGTCTTGTATGTTTCTGAGAAAACAAGTTTTTTTTTCTTCAAATATACATAGGTGATTTGCACTCCTATAGTTCATATAGAAAACTATCCTAAAAATAAACTTCGTCTGACCTATTTTTGACGATCTCATCGGTTTATGGTAGTCCTAGCGTTGACAAAAAAATAGTTTTTCCAACTATCATCTTCGTTCTTGGACAATCCGTTTAGACTAGTCTCAGCCCCTAGTCTCAGCCCCTTAGAACATCTATTTCAACATGATTGGAGGAAAAACAGCACGTTTTCAGGATCGAGCTGCCTCTCAGTCACATATGAATACAAGTCATGTTATGAAGCCGTAAAATATTTACCATCAGACAACCCTTGTGAAGATACATCGAAGGGTATATAATAAGTTGAGTTTTGATCATGTTTTCATTAAAATATCATAGCGTAATACTCGCGGGACATTTTTGCAGTGATATTCAAGTTTTTTGAATATGGAGAATCATAAGTTAAAAAAAGGGTTAAAAAATGAGCATTAAAGCTCCAGCATTTATGAAGATACAAGTGAAGCAAAGTGGAATAATTCTCGGGACAAGGTGTGCGTAAAATGACTATAGCAGAAATTGTTCGCCAATTTGTGAAATGAAACTTTAATCTTTTACTTTTTTTTGCTAAACTGGTCGGTAAGCGCAGGACTATCTTCTGACTATTTTCGATAAGGATTCGCCGGGCTGTATCACATTTTTACTCACGAGACAAAGAGAGGTCAACGTGAATGTTTCGTTTCACAAATGCGCCACTGTTTTGCATTTTTTCATTGGAATTGATGTAGAAACGTAAAACACCTTATATATTCGAAATCCTTCACGATTTTGCAAACTGTTAATGATAAAGAGAACTCTTGAAACTGTATTTCGCTGTAGAAAAAACGTGAGTTTTCGTCAGTAGATTATGCCAAAAAACAAGGATCGTTAGGACGCCTGCGCCGTATCTCAGCAACTATAGCACATAACTAGCTTATATTTTCAGGAGTAGTTGGCATTGTTCAGACAAACAAAATGAAGAAAAGTTTTAGAAATTCTATGCAAAGGAAACAAAGTTATTTTGCGCTTCGGGGAGCAATTGTACAATGGCAGCACAAATCACTCGTTGTTTGAATAAAAGAAAATAGGAACTATGATTTCTAGATACCCTTGCGCAAGAAAGTCGCTTAATTTGTTCAATGACATTGTTAGATTTGAGTAAAATGTTCAGAGAATGTAGTTCGTCTTGCATTAGTATGATTTTCCTTAATGAAAGTGTCCACCATACTCAAACAGTTATTTTTGATCATCAAGTTTTCCCA